TTCAGCAGGGTTAAGCTCCATCTCCTCTAGCCTCTCCCTTGAGCTGTGGGCATCACAGCCTCCTGCAGCATCACTGTTTGTTTCTCAGCCTCTGCCAGAGCTTTTAGGCTGGTGAAGTTTGCCTGGACAAAGCTAAGAGATGCTTCAGTCCTCTGGAACATTATGGTTCCATTATTATAGATATTTACAGCTAGAAATGCCTTGTTAGTGTCATTTTCTTCATAAATTTGGATTTGTCTGCCGTTGCAGATGCCTATTTTTCTATAACTTTTCTAGTATTTACAGATGACCGTGTGCCAAAGATTGCAGTCTGGTGTGTAGAGTAGCAGATTAGTGATGATGGCTCTGTCCCCTTTGTGTGAAACGTCTGCCATTAGGGTCTCTAGGTTGTTCTTGAGCAGGCTGTATTTACAGGCTTTCTTGTCTTTTGCGCTCTTGATAGTCTGTGGGTATGTGATGGAGTGGGGGAAGGGCTCTCCTGCAATGGCTTCCATTGGGGTTTTTTTTCTGTCACTCAGACTGCTGCTAGTTTTCTATACTTTACTATATTTCAACTTAACGAAACTTTCTAGTTCTGTCTCACTAATTTGTAATAGCCGTTTAAAATGCAGTGTAGATGGAGATTCAGTCTTCCCTGTTATTTGGTTGTGAACTGATTCCAGTATCTTCTGCTTTATCCAGTTTTCCTCCTGATTGCTCCGTTTCAGTGCTCTTTAGTTGCCTTGTTGAAGAAGCAGCAATGAAATTCACAGCTATCACGGTCACCTTAATATTCCTCTCACTTTTTTCTTTGGTTTAGGCCTGTTTCACTCTAGAGATCAAAGATTGCAAAAAACTTAGGAGCTCAAGTGGATCATGACTTTTTCTCTCTCTCTCTCTCTCTCTCTCCCTCTCTTCATATTATTCATGTTATTAAAAAACTCTTCATGTTTTGTTTTGTTAAAAGAAAACATTACCAGTTACCTCTAAACATATATAACCAAATATACCTCAAATACATGCTTGAATATTTTTGATACACACATTTCGCAGCAAAAACACATACTGTATGCATTCCAACACAGACACAAAAAGTTTGGAAATGCTTCAGTTACTTGCTTAAAGGGATACTCCACCCCAAAATGAAAATGTTGTCATTAATCACTTACCCCCATGTGGCTCCAAACCCGTAAAAGCTTCGTTCGTCTTCGGAACACAATTTAAGATATATTGGATGAAAACTGGGAGGCTTGTGACTGTCCTATTGACTGCCAAGTAAATAACACTGTCAAGGTCCAGAAAAGTATGAAAGACATCGTCAGAATAGTCCATCTGCCATCAGTGGTTCAACCGTAACGTTATGAAGCGACGAGAATACTTTTTGTACGTGAAGAAAACAAAAATAACGACTTTATTCAACAATTCGTCTCCTCTGTGTCTCTCTGCATCACCGTAGCGCCATTTTGAAGAATGTCCACTGAACGCAAGCAGCGTACGCTCTCCTGTGTCAGCCGCGACACAAGGATACGTTTTCTACGTGTATTTACGCTTTGATTTGAATGAAAACAGCGCATCCGTGCAGCACGGCTGACACAGAAGAGTGTACGCTGCTTGCGTTCAGCGGATATTCTCCAAAATGGCGCTCCTCTGTGATGCGGAGAGACACAGAGGAGACGAACTGTTGAAGAAAGTCTTTTTTTTTTTTTCTTCGCGTACAAAAAAGTATTCTCGTCGCTTCATAACGTTACGGTTGAACCACTGATGGCAGATGGACTATTCTGTCAAATGAAAAACTTAAAAACCTCAATGTAAATAATAATAATATAAATAAAATACAATAATATAAATATAAATGAAAGCTAAATTGAAACATAAAAAACTCAAATTAAAATCAAAACTAAAAATATACAAATATTAAATATACAAATAATACAAAAATAACACATGACCGCTTAATAGTTCACCCAAAACTAAACATTTACTGAAAATGTGTCGTTTTCACTTGCAAATTGTGCTTGATATTTCTCTCCTGATTCAGACAAGAAAACTTTTTCACTGGAGAAAGCAATATTATGGATATAAAATGCATATTTTAGCCTGAAGCAAGGGTTTGAAGTTAAAAACGTCTCAGTGATGGATCTTTTCTTACAATATAAAGCCACATTTTTTACAAATCTGTTCTGATGAAGATACAAACTCATCTACATCTTGGATGGCTTGAGTGCGAGTATATTTTTTGGTTTTATTTTTATTACTTTATTTATTTATTTTTTTTTAACTATTCCTTTAAAACAGATTTGACACTTGTTGTGAACTTTTTGGGAGGTATTGGGATCAGATGCATGTTTGATTTTCCTTCACTTCACAGCGTCTTCTCTGAGCAGCTCGTTTAAGCTCAAGGTAACACAAGCACCTTGCTTGGACAACAGTACGAGTCGTTGTATTGGAAAGCCTGTGCGAGGGGAATATCCTGGGTTTGTTCGTGACAGCTGAGTATCCGGGGGTCTGGGGGAGGAATGTGACCCTCTGAAGTTTTTGTTAGCGGGGGGGGGGGGGG